TTGCATGAGGAATAATGTAATCTGCAGCCTTCTCACTCCGTTTTCTCAGTCCTTATCCATGCATCTGGCACAAAACTACCAGTCCATGTTCAAATGTGCCAAATATCTCAGTTTTCAGAAAATGATGCTGACTTTGTTGATTCATCTAATAAGCCACAATGGGGGCCTTTTGCCATTAACTTAATGTGCAGAGGTCGCAAACATGATGAGAAGGACTGATGAAAACTGAGATCATGCAGCAAGCATCACCAAAAGCTAGACGCTTTCCAGACTTCTTCAGGAGCATACTTATAATTTCTGTACGTACATGGAATTGTTCCAAAGAGACTATATGATGTTGTAAATCTGTGAGTTTCAGTGACTAGCAGTATACAGGTCTTTCACAAGACTCTTGGGAGAAATTCCAGCAAATGCCCAGATACGACTGGACTTTCACAGACAAAGAACAGGATGTGAAGAATGAACCTAGTAATCTCCTCCCCCGAGAGTGTAGTAGCATTTTCCTATCTCAACTCCTATGGTGGCCACATTTACCCAGAGGGTAAAGGGCATTGCTTTGGAACCAGACATCTATGGTTGTGAAATCTGACCTAACAATTTACTGACACAACTACAAAAACCTCACAACTACCTGTGAGGTGCGAGAGATTTCTTATGGGTTATCTAGTTAGCTATCAGATTGTATCCCACATGACCAGAATGCTGGACTAGATGAAGCTTTGGTCTGTTCTTATCTTAGGCTAAAATAAAAGATTCATTAACATAGTTTTTTCCCATCAGTGTTGACTTTGGGAGTTATTTACTTCCTACAAACATTGCAGTGATGATGGGTTAAGAGGAATGTATGGACAGCCAGCATGGTGTAGTGGTTAAGAGTACAGGACTGGGACTCGGGCGATCTGGGTTGTAGTCCCCACTCCGCCATGGAGGTAACTGGGACAGTCACAAACTGTCAGCATAACCTACCTCACAGAGTTGTTGTTGTGAGGATAAGTTTGGGAGGAGAATTTATGTAAGCTACCTTGAGTTCCTTAGAAGGAAGAAAAGGTGGGATATAAATACAGTAGGTTATAGGCAGGAAATCATCCATTTGCCCCACGTCTTGCCACCACCTTCTTCCTGCTCGCTTGACATGGATGGTGTGGTCCTCAAGCGCTGGTAGTTCTTGGAAGACTCATTGCAAGGATCCTCCTATATTGTTTGGACCCTGATACCAGAACCAGGAGAGAGAGCGATATTTATTATCCCTGAGCTGTGAGATCATCTTTAGTTCTAAAGAAACTTCCTCTCACTTCATAGCCAGAGAAACCAATAACATTATATGGGCTCCTCAAACTCCTGGTAGTCACAGGGAGAAGATTGTTAAACCAGATAAACAATATCATTCCTGCAATGGAACCAGTTGGGTATGGGAGTGGGACTGGGGTGTGGGGGGGGCAACAGCTAAGGAACAGAGAAAGAAATTCTTGGAAAACAGCAGTTCCTAGCCTCAAATCATGGATGTTGGAACAATTATACAGCACAGCACCATGCTGTACCTGAGTAGGCTTATGCATATTTTTATTATATTATGCTGTATGTTATGACTTTGATTGTGGAATTGCTCATAGAGTTCCAGTTATTTAATGGTATAGAAATATAATGAAGAAATGGGCTTGCTACCATTTTGTGAAAAACGACTATGTAGATGGCCCTTTTCACGTGATTTGCCTGGCCAATCTACACTTTATATACTGTGAGTTAATAGTTAGTAATGGGCTGACAATAGATGCAAAACACTGTTTTTAAGGATGCACTCCAATGCATATTTAGACAGGAAAAAATTTCCACAGCTCCTAGTACCAACCCCAGTAGAGCCCCCTTCCAGGGCAGGCTAGTTTACTTATTAAAGGACTGCCTCAACAAACATATCTTTCACTGCTGGCAAAAGGACACCAAACAGAACCCAACCGAGCCGTTCTTGGCGGCATTTCCAGAGCAGCCACAGAGCAGCACCCACCCATTTTCTGTGCAATTCTGTACAAGTCTACTCAGAAGTAAACTTCACTGATTTCAAAGGGATTTCCTCCTAAGTAGGTATGAAAATGTGATCCCTAGTTTTATAGACATTGGATCTTTTGAAGTAAGGAATTCAAAAGTCCAATGGCAGGATATCCTATTTTACCAGATTTAGAAGTGTTCGATAAAGGCACACTTCTTTTTAAACTGAAAAAATGTCCTACAGTTTCCAGCATGCTCCAGTCAGTCATGCTGCTCAGGGAATGCTGAGAGTTTTCAAACTTCTATAACTATTCCCTAATTCATTTGTGGTACACTTCCTGACTAGGTGACCTTCCTAACGGGAGGTCATTGAGGCCCCATCGGTGAGGGTGTTCAAAGACAGGCTGGACATGCACATGGTGGGCATGTCATTGGCTGGAGCCGGGGGTCAGACTAGATGGCCCGGGAGACCCCTTCTGACTTGCTCTGTTTCTATGTGATGACCACTCCTGGGGGAAAACATGGTATTTGTTATAGCAAAAATAAACCCATAGCACCTTAAAATTTATCAAATGCATGGTGCAATTAGCTTTCACTCACATTTTAGTTACTTTTAATGCAAAACCAATGTGCGTGGTCTACTCCATCAGATATCAGAGGGTATTTTTTTGGGATCAGATGCCCATGCTTTTGAAATCTGACCTAATAGTCTACTGACACAACTACAGAATTCTTCCTGTGAGGGTTAGAGAACCCTAGTATTGCATTCATGGCTTATCTATCTATTCTTGGATAAGTCTTCTACTTTTTAACAGATGCCCTCAAAGTGGCTTCTGATATTAATAAGATAAATTTATATGAATACCAGTAACAAGGAGTATGATTACAGTGTTATAGGGGCCATCTCTGCACAACACTGGGGATAGTTCCACATAACATACACATAATGTATGTACTATCAAATCACAATATGATGCTGATGTTCTGTAGCTAAACTAGCTTTGGGTGCAATCGTATGCATGTTTACAGAAAAAAGGCCTACAACACCCAGCATGTTGTCAGCTGCATGGAGCATGCTAGGAGTGGCTCAGCCTTTCTGTCTAAGCAGAGCCTGTGAGAACATGAAAGACCTGCTGAATCAGAGCAAAAGGCCATCTAGTCCGCATTCTGTTCATACAATGCCCAACTAGCTGCCCATGGGAAACCTACGAGCAAGGCAAGAGGGCCACACACCTTGCCACCCATGTTCCTCAGCAATGAGTGCATAGGCTGCCTCCAGTATGGGTGGTAATAAGTAGCTACCCCTGATCAGTTAACCACTGATAGCTTTGTCCTCCATGAAGGTCTCCAATCCCCATTTAAGGCCTTATCAGTTGATGGGCATCCTCAGGTCTTGTGACAATACATTTCTTCAGCAGGAAAGTAAGAAGAGCCCTGCTAAGTCAGGCCAGGGGTCCATCTGCTCCAGCCTCCTGTTTGCACAGTGGCCGAGCAGCTGGACAAGCACAAGCAGGACATGGGTGCAACAGTTCTGTCCCACACAAGTTCCCCAGCACCTGGTGCATGTAGGCATAAGCTTCTGATACTGGAGGTGGCATAGAGCCCGACAGATAGTAGCCATTGGCTTCTCCTCCAGAGCCCTTCCTAAGCCATCCAACTTGATGACCACCACTACGTTTCATAGAAGAGAATTGCACAGTTTAACTATGTGCTGCGCGAGGAAGCCCTTCCCTTTATCTGTCCTGAATTGCCCACCAGCTTTCGCCTTCTTCCAAAAGGGCACACTCCGGAAGGAGAGATCCATCAGCAGCCGTGAGCTGATGAAAGGGGATTGGAAATGAAACATCCACGCTCGGTCACAGTCTTCCCAAGCAGCAGACTGGCGTGTCATCACCACCTCCATGCCTGCGTTCCGGGCTTCCCAAAAGCATCTGGGCTGTTTACTCGGAAACAAAATGATGCACTGAGGCACTCTTTATTGGGGCCATGGTGTCCCCTTTTTCGAGGGGGAGCAAAGGGAAAAGGGATTCTCCGGCTGCTACCGATCCTCACTTACCTGGGAGTAAATTCCACTGAAATCAGTGGGACTTACTTCTGAGTAGCTGTGCACACATAGCTCTGCCTGCCAATTATTAAAGGACGTCCTTTCTAAAGTACCAAAGAGGCATCTGGGACCAAGCCGGATTAAGGCACTCATATCTACGTCTGCAGGCGCACACGGAAAGGACGGGCGACTAATACTAGATTCTCGCCACCACCACTTTCTCCCTCTGTTCCTTTTCACCTTGAAATCTACATGCTCGGTTTCGAGACGGCTTTTCCGGTGCGCTGCTTCCCTCACTCCTTTTTTTTTTTAAGCCGGCAGAGATTGATGATCCGAAGCGGCTCGGTTACTACGGCACCCACACCCAGCTCAATCCGGATTGTAGCCGCGGCCGCTTCCTCGACTCCGGAGCAAACCCTTAGCAGAACAGAGCGATTTTAAAGAAGGCAATTTCATTAGCGGGTGAGCAGGGAGGTTGCATTTGCTTTGCCTAGCTTAGATGTGGAGTAGGAAGAAGCAGAGGCTGTAGTCTGTAATGCATAAAGGACCGGAGGTTTTTCACTACTACCAGGGACGAGCAACCCCTTTCTGTCCGTTCCCTCCTCGCCAGTTTCCGCACAACTCCGGGTGTCTCTGTCTTTAAGAGGCAGGCCTCCAAGACGCACAGGAGGGCGGGAACGCAGGGGCTGGCCCACTCGCGATTGGAAGCGGGCCCTGTCCTTCACTCCCGTCCCCCTCCACCGCCCGCATCTTCTCTTCTAGATGTCTTCCACACATACTCACTCACCCCTCCCTCCCCTCCAGCATCATCATCCCCGCCGCTTGCCCGCCCCTCCCTTTGGAAAGGGCAGTTCCAGTCTAGCACTGACGTCACCCCGTCTGTCTGCTTCGAGCCTCCTCTTTCCCATATGAAACTGAATCTCCTTGGACTTGAATGAGGAGCAAAGGACGGGAGGAGGGGGAGGAGGAGGAGGAGGGGAGGAAAAAAAGAAAAGAGGGGGGAGTTACTAAGATCTTGCCTGGGCAAGGCGAGAGGAGAAAGAGGGAGGCAGAGAGAGAAACAAACTAGCAAATCTCCTTCGCCCAGCTCTGTGCGCGAACTTCTAGGTCTGGCGGGGGTAATGGGGGGCAAACAGCAGATCTTAGAGCTGAGAACTCCTCTTGCTAGCTCTTGATTTGAATTATTTTATTCTTATTTTTTAATCCCCCGTATACATTTTTGGAGGGTGGGGGTTTTGTTTTCTGTTTTTCCCCTTCCTCCACAAAGGGTTTTTTTTAATCAGTTCTATTGCCTCGCTTTTTTTCCTTTCCCCATCAACATCCCCTCCGACCCCTCAAAGAAGATCCCGTCTTTATGTTGTGCTGCCCGGAGACCTTTGAGGTCTTCCCGTCCTTTGTTTCTTATTTTCATTTAAATGTATAACTTGATGGGTCTGAACAGCACAACCGGAGCCAACCAGCCCAATGTCTCCTGTACATGCAACTGCAAACGATCTTTGTTTCAGAGTATGGAGATCAGTAAGTACTTCTTAATTTAATTGTGTTATATATAAAATTTTCCTTTCCCCTCTCCTCTCTCTTTCGGGTGGGTGGGAGGGGGGTTTCCATGCACGATGGGTTTTCTGCTGCAGCCGCAGACCATTCCGTTCAGAGTTTCCAAAGGCGTTGGACCCCGTCCACCTCCCTGGGCTGTTGTCAGTGGTTTCATTTCACGATTGTAGCACGCTCTTAAAATTGGGGAGGGGGGGTCGCATTGTGTTTTCTTGTTCCTTCAATCCTGGTCCAGTGTTTCAAGAAGACTTTTGTGGGCTTGTTGCGTTTTCCAACTTGGTGTATGTAAGCGTGCGTTCTTGGGTGCCCAAAAGTTTTTTACATATTATATAGTGAGTGTGTGCGTGGTTAAGTACTTTTGCGGCTACAATCCATCGCGTTTCTCTCCCCCCACCCCCTTTTTTGCATGCGAATGTAGCAGTCTTGAGACACTGCATCTGATTTTTAAAATGATTTTCATTTTCTGATAACGCTCGGTCCGCCTGCTGAAAAAATAGTTCTTTTCTGATATGATTTGGGAATCCTATGATGTCTTGGAGTTTTCATTTTAAAAAAGAAGTGTGTCTGTGCGTGTTGGGGGGGGGCTCTGAACTTCAACTCGAACAAAATCTTCGTAGCTCAAGCTCGCCTTAATGCTGTCGCGCTTTAGTTTTGCGGACGGGACTGTGCGGAGCTTTGCAGAAGACGCGGGGCGGGGGGGGGGCGAGGCACGGTGGCGTTATATCGATCTGCGTATTTCGTTCGTGTTCAGTACATCTCTGAAGGAAAGGGGGGCGAGCTAGAGACCCCCCTGCGCCCCAAGACACCCGCGCCCCCCCCGCGCGCTACGCGGCTGGGTCCCCCTTCGGCGGGGGGAGGACCCGGAGAGGAGCGCGCGCGCGATCCCAGGCTGTTGGTTTGACCGCCCCTGGGAGCTTTGTCTGTTTCCTAAGCCAGACGGCGAGAGCGCCTGCTGCTCGGCTATTTAAAGCACATGCTCGATTGGAGAATCCGACGAGCAACCCCGGGAGCCCTTTTCTCCCAGAACAAGACACCGTCCCTCCTGTTTTATGATCGCAGCCTGCTTTTATGGCTTCGCTGCAATCTGCTGCAAATCGGGACCTCTCCCCCCCGCACCCCGTCCGCCCCTCCTTGCCAAATCCGCTGGTATGAGCAGCCCAGCTTCTTTCCCGCCCCCCCGCCCCCCTTAATCATCCCTGTCACCCATGCAACGATTTAACGCCCGTTCTTGGGAGAGACTCAAATCTTTAAAGCGGGCCGGGGAGACAAATACATGGGAGGCGATTTATCAAGCCTAACATGGAGCCGCCATGGTTAGAGGCAGTATACCTCTGCGGGCATGTGAGGGCTGCCAGCAGCGGATGGGCTGAAGTTTTCACGTTCTGCATGTGAGTTTTCCCAGCAGGAGCCAGCCAGGCACTGTTGGAAGCAGAGTCCTTGGGTCGACGGGGCAGACTTTTGCTCTGGTCTGGTCTGATCCGGCAGAGCGCTACTTGTGTCATTGGCAGTCTGCTTTCCCGGCCTTTTGCACCATTCCGGCTCCACAGTGTTCACTCGGCTGCTCCTGGGATGCCTCTCACCTCTCACGTTAGGATGGGGGAGTGCAGTGGACTGGGAACCTCTCTACCGCACCCCCCGCCATGAAATAATAGGACAATACTTTAGCAATTAAGTCGTCTCACCAGCCAGTCTGCGGGGGGGGGGGACTGTGTGTGTGTGTGCTGAGAATGCAAGTGTTATGTCCAGCGAACTAGAATTTGTAACTATAAATAGCAATCACTAGGTCTGAGAAGTAGATTACAGCTCTGTCTAGCCTTTGGAAAGGCTAAGTCAGACAAAGTTGCCCCCCCCCCGTCTGTGCCTATAAAGCACGCTAACTAAATGTATTGTCCTTGAGCTAATGATATCAAGTGGAACTAAACTATACTTTCTGTACGTTGCTGCTGATATGTGGGCATGATAAATCTTTTGATATCTTTCCGAAAATGTATTTTTTAAAAATACTGGAGGGTGGGGGTGAGAGAGGAAAGGGCGGATTGCTTTTTTTCTCCTTCTGGTCCTGTCTCACTTAGGAGTCTTATAACAGGTTCTGGGATAGAAGAAATGACTTGCCAGCATGAAAGGCTACAATCTTGTACTTGCTTACCTGGAGGTTAGCCCCAGTGAACGCAAGGGGACTTGCTTCTGAGTAGACAAGTATCCGATTGCACTGTAAGTGGCAAATTAGACTTGTTCTGCTCCTTCCTTAGCATTCTGTAATGTTCTGCACTAGATCTCCCTCTTTCTAAACTCTCCAATACAATAAGTGCTGGGAGACATCCAGGTCTGGAATATTTTTAATAGTTGCACTATTGTGATGAGTTTGGCTGAGTGTCATTTCCCCTTGTCTTTTGTTTTATTTTTTGCTTTTCTTTGTTTTGAAGTAAAGTGTCTGCTGTTTAAACACAATCTGTGCAAAAGACACAAGCAATCTATGGCCATCTCCTCATTAATTCTGAGTGTGCCAATGCTTTTGATGTAGCTAATATGCCACTAGACTCCCAGACATACCAGGTCTAATAATGATGGTGGGGGGTCTTTCCCCCCTTCTGTTGAAAATGTAGGTGTCATGTCATTTCCTCTTAAAAATCAGCAAATTAAAAATTAACATTCATGTAAAATGTGATGATCTCTCTAAATATTGCAGCAATTAAAGTTGTTTTCTTTCTCCTTCTCAATATATTTCTTTCCTTATTTTTAAACTGTTCTGATGTTGGCTTTTGAATATTTATGTACCAGAGATTCTCTTGCATATGACAATATTTTCTTTGCTAATAAAAATATGTATGGACCTTCTGTCTACTGTGTCATATAATGCCAGTTTTTCATATCCCCTCTTCTAGTCCCCTTACTTTTTTTTTTTGTGCTTCATTTTAAATTCATCACTTTTATTTTCAGCCCCTTCCTCCAAGCTAATCAGCCATAATGATGTTTTGGCTGGCATGGAGGCAGTCTTGTTAATTTAGTTGTCTGCTCTCCCAAATAGACTTCATTTCTCACTTCTAATGAAGTGATACTCAGGGGATTTTGACCTACAAGGTTAGCTTTAGTACTAACTGCATTGAAAATACACACACACACACACATTCTTATTGACTTAGTTATGGCCAGAGAGGCCAAAGTGAAATGTGGAGAGAATATTTAGCAGTTTTATTTTTATTTGTTTAGTGTATTTAAAACATTTTTGCAAGTTTTAAATTACTTGAGCACTCTTCTAATTGTTTAGGTTTGCTCTTATGCCATATTGAAATGTCTGACATGCATACTAGCTTCCATTTCAGTATATGGTCTTCTAACTGGGCTGTCTTGAAATTCAGCAAGTCTATGATGTATTTAGAAAAGGAAAAAGAAAAACCACCATTAGGGCTACAGTTTATATAGATTCTGAAATTATGTGTGCTCCCATGGAGGTTGTTGACAAAATCCATTGCATTTACAGTACATCCACTTGACATGTTTTGTTGGGGTAACACCACTGAAATCAGTGTACCTTCTAAGAATTTTGTAATCAACCTAAAATGCCCTACGCTGGTCAAGTACCAAGAAAGTCAGGTGTTCATATCAAAGGGAAGCGGATTTCTTCTTTGATACATGGAAGACAATGGAACTATTCCTTTTTAAAGCCAGTACATGCCTGGCTTTCTGCATTACCTCTTATTTCTCAGATATTTCCAACTGCAGCACATATTAAACTACAGTTTAGTAAATTTCATTTAAGCATTGTTTGACTGTATTCTACTGCAGTTCTAAAAACCTGCCATCATGGGTTAGGTACTAAGACATGTTTATCTACACCCTGAATTCAAATTTAAATATTCATATACAACCCAAATTAAAATCTTCTTAGAGATGTTCCAGCTAGATTTCCCTAAGTGTCATGGCATTATTGTTCCTAAATCTAATATTTCTTAATTTGAGTTGCCCCCATTAGAGAAGATTAATAATGCTGCGGGTAGATATCTGGGTGTTCGTGTGATAGTGCATCTTATCTAGTGCAGAAAATGAGTGGCTGAAATGAGCTTTCAAAACCAATTCTCCCCACCCCATAATTGAGCAACTAACTTTATTTTTTCATTTAAAGGCATCACAGGACTAGAAAAGTCAGTGTAGCAAAAAGAAACACAAGAGCAGGTTCTGTTCCCAGCCTTCTTTTGGAGGAAAAAGACTTGCATGACACTAAGCAAAAGTTCCTGCTTAGAACAATTTGTTCTTTTTCAAATAATTCCTTGGCACTTTGGAGATTGGACTTCTTTTATTATGTTATTCAATCCATGAATTCCCAGTGCTGGAAAGATTCATCTTGCTTTTTATAGGGTGACTTACTCTTCATCAAAGACTGTAGAACAGGCTGGTGTACTTTTAAGGAGGGTCGCCTTTAAAGCTGTGATGCCATATGCATTTATTTGGAAGTAACTCACTGGAGTTTGCTACTGAGTATAAGATGACACCATGAAAATGCTTTATAACTACTTACACCAGACATGCTGCACCCATGTCTTGACTCCATGTCTTGCTATGTCCAAACAAAACTCTTAAATCATTAAGCATCTCAGGACCAAGCTCTCTAAGACTTTTAGCATGCCTTGAAAGCAGTATTTCAGGCTTTATGGACTAAAATTGCCAAGTCTGATGGAAAATGTGTGTTGTGGTTTGTTGGTTTGTTTGGTTTAATGGTTCAAACAACTTTGTTTGTTCCTTATACTATATGTGTCTGCATTGTTTGTAGCCTTTTTACTCCAGCTAAATTAATCAGAATTTACCCCAGACCCAGCTTCCTTATCTACAGTCATAGGAGTTATTAAAAATTCCAGTTCTAGCCTTAAAGAGTAGCAGAAAGTTTTCTTTCTTGTGACTCATTATTCTGTGTAAAGGTAAGAGTCAGTAACTAAATGACCATGGGAATATGGACTTTAAGAGAAATAAATATG